TATGCTTCCGTCATTCATTGTAGGCGCAACCTATAGGCATCCCCATGGTTCCTCTGAATCTTTTGATTATATAGAAAAAGTTTTTAGAGAAATGTTACTTAAAAAGAAACCTCTTTTCATACTAGGTGATTTAAATGATGATTTAAATAAACCTAATGCAAAACTATCTAAAATAATTAGGAAAAACAAATTAGAACAAATAGTCAAAAAACCTACAAGGGTCACAGAATACACTTCATCATTAATTGATGTAATAATAACAAACAGAGCTGACCTCATTCACCATACAAACGTCATTCCATGCCATGTTGCCGATCACGAACTCATAACAGTGACGCTAAATTTAAAGAAATCAAAAAGACCACCAGCCATAAAAAGTTTCCGAGAATTAACCAACTACGACCCTCAGTCATTATGCCAACAAATAATTGCCAAGGAAGCAACTCTTTTAGAAATATTGCAAACAGATAATGTAGACAAACAGGTAAATGTCTTTACGGAAGTGATTAATGACAGCATAGATGCCATCGCTCCATTTGTTACAAAAACTGTTAGACGTCCTCCTGCTCCATGGATAAACAGCGACATCAAGAGAGCAATAACAGATAGAAATAGCGTTCATAAAGCTCTCAAAAATGACAGACACAACATGGGACTCCAAAATAACTACAAAAAAAAAAAAAAAAGAGAAATGTCAAATCACTTATACAAGGAGCCAAAACTGATTATTTTAGAAATAGGTTAACAACTTGCAAAAAAGATTCTGCTAAAACATGGAAAATCATTAAAACACTTGTACCAAACCAAAAACATCACAGAGATCATCTAAACACCAGTATTAACGTAAATGAATTTAACGATTTTTTCGCTAAAATTGGACATCTCACATATAAACAAACATATGCTTCCAGATCTCAGCAAAAGGCAGGTAGGATAAGGCCACTAGCAAATATTTTCAGACCAGAACCTGTAAAAGTAGAAACAGTAATCTTAACAATAAAACACCTGCGTCAAACTAACCCTGTGGGAGCAGATGGTATTGCTTTTCGCTTTATTAGAGACAGTCTACCTGCAATAGCCTACTATCTAACGGTAATTATTAACACATCCCTAGTCACTGGTGATTTCCCATCACTTTGGAAACATGGCATAATAACACCAGTTTTCAAATCCGGAGACACAGACGAAATCAATAACTATCGCCCTATAACCATACTGCCTATACTGTCTAAAGTTCTAGAAAAAATCGTAGCAGACCAATTGGCATTATTCCTGGAGACAAATGACATACTATCTAATTCACAACATGGATTCAGAAGTAAATTGTCTACTGAAACAGCATTATTACAGATCACAAATAAAATCTATGAGAACATAGATAACAATCAAATAAACTTGCTAACATTGTGCGATTTATCCAAGGCTTTTGACAGTGTCAACCACGAAATCCTCCTTCGTAAATTAATATATCACAACATCGATACATACTGGTTCAGAAGTTATCTAAGCAACAGAAGCCAATCAGTCAAAATTCGCGAGGAAATATCAACAAAACAGTTCGTCTCTTTCGGTGTTCCACAAGGATCAATATTAGGCCCAATTTTATTTACAATATTCGTAAATGACTTAACACCCATAGCCCAAAACTGCTTTCTTGTTCAATACGCCGATGATTCCCAATTTCTCCACAGTGATTCAGTAAACAACTTAGATGAACTAATAAAAAAGACCCAGGAGACATTGACACAAATAAAAGGATACTTTGACACAAATGGCCTTAAGATAAATCCAGATAAAACACAATGTATCTTCATAGGTAGTCGCCAAAATATCGCCAAAATTCCAGTAAACACCACCATAAAATTTGAAGACAGCTACATAAAACCGAGCACTTCTGTAAAAAACCTAGGCGTACATATTGACAGATACATGACATTTGAGAATCATGTCGATAACATCCATAGAAAAGTAATGGGCACACTAATTTACCTAAGCCACATTAAAAACAAGATCCCGGCTGAAACTAGGATATCTGTAATACAAACACTAGTTCTCAGTATAATTAATTATTGCTCTAACATCTGGGGCACAACAAACAAGAGTCACATTCAGAAAATCCAAAAATTACAGAACTTTGCTGCGAGAGTAGCGCTTGGTAACGTAAACAAGTATGACCACATTACCGCACACATAAACAAACTAAATTGGCTAAAAGTACATAACAAATGTAACTATGACACTTGCGTACTAATTCACAAAATTATCCAAGGGTTTTATCCAAAATGGCTTCTCACCCTTCCAACCGTAGGAAACATAACCTGCGTCCAAACAAGACAGATAAACTCTCTACACATCAAAAGATCACGCACAGATATAGGGGCACGACACACACATACACGTGGACCCATGATTTGGAACAAATTACCAAATAATATCAGAAATATTAGAAACTCTAATACATTCAAAAAGAAATTAAAAGAACATCTCTTAAATCACCAAT